ACGCGCGCGCGTGCCTCCGGATGCCGGGGCGGACGGGCCCGAGGACCGCTGGGGCGCGCGCAGCGGTGCGCAGCCGCGTTTCTCTCCGATCTCATCAGTATCAAGTCGGGCCTGTCCCTCTACAGCAGGAATTATCGAAAATAATCTCTCTCTCTATCACACACACACCAAAAAAAAAGTCTGGGAACGATGTTTCCGCAAGTTTTACTATTTTAGGGGTATTGTTTGACTACGTCTTATCTTCTTTATCCCAAAATCCGCCCGTAGGGGGACATGCCCGACCTAATCTCAGTATCGTTTAACCGATCCCAATCCCCACCGGGCACCGGGCCGTGGCACCTCACAATCCCCACCGGGCACCTGGCCGTGGCACCTCAGCCTCACCATCCCACCACCCAAGTTGGGGACAGGCCCCTCGAAACTCCAATGGAGCAGCCTGTATCCCCATCTTGGGGGGGTACATCGGCCGGTGGGGATCGGGTCACGCCCGTGGGGATAGAGATCGGTCAAAAGATGTTGCTCACGATCATTTCTCTGGGTTTGGAGAGTCACATGGTCGTAAGCAACGTCAGGGGGGGTAGGCTCAGGGGGGGATGCTTCGACCCCACTCGCCCATTGAGTGCCCTCTCGCAAGTGACCCAGACGGCCTCCTCGCATCGTGCATGTGATGTTGTTTCTGGCCTCTGGGGGCCCTCGCCGGGCCCCCAGAGGCCGTCAGGCAACCACTCGGGATGAGAAGCCGGTGTAGGGGAGCGGATCGACGCCTCCAGAGGCCCACGTTTTCTGGAAAGATCATGACGTCGGGGGCTTGGGAGCGGGAGTCTCAAGCAGCGGCGAAGCGTTCTGCTTTGCCTTCAGGCCCACCGAAGAATGTTCGAAGAACCTTCTGTGGCTTGCGCGAAATATTCGTAGAACATTTCTGGTTGAGGCTGTCTTGGTCTAGCACATCGGGTTCACGTTCTAAGAACATGTTCTTTGTTTTCTGAGCATGTTCTTTGTCCTAACACGGGTGCGTGGTAGGCATACGGGAACGAGTGCCAGAATGGCTGGCCCCTGCTCAAGAGCCAGCGTCTTCGGGGGTCCGTGAGACAGGGCTAGGATCGGGGTAAATCGCTCCAGAGCGTTCCGGAGCGCTCTCAGAGCGTTCCGGAACGCTCTGGAGCGGCCGCGGCGCCCAATACATCCTCCAAACCCGCCGATTCTCAGAGATTTCGAGTTATCCCGATCCGATTTTGTCCCGATCTTCGCGTCGTTTTAGTCCGGCCAAGCCCCCCTCCGATCGCCTCTGGCGGGCCCTGGGCCTCGAGAGCCGCCGGGCAGCCGACGCCCGCCCCCCTTTCGGCCCCCTCCCTGCGCCGACCCGGGGCTCCGAGGGCCCCGCCGCGGCCCGCGGCGCCGCGGCGTGGCCCTGGCCGCCCTTGGCCACCGCGTGCCCCGGACGCGTTGCGGGGTCGCCGCAGGTCTACGCCTCCTGGGCGGCGCCGATGCCTCGGCGATGTGGCTCGATGTCGAGCCCGATGTTCTCACCGCCGATGGCGCCGATGCATCTGCAATGCATCGCCGAGGCATCTGCGCTGTATCGCCGATGTGTCGGCGACGCGGCGTGATCCTCCGACCCAATGTTCTCGAACCCCATCTAGGAGGCCTCCAGTGAAGGAGAGGGGTCCTGCGGGAAACGGACACGCCGAGGTTTGTCTTGGCTTATCGGCCTCGAGGGGGCCGTGCCCGGGCCCCGGAATGGCGTCGAAAATTAGCTCCGGGCGAAGACTCGTTCCCAGGAGTCAGGATCCGTTTCCTTCATATCAAGGGGTAGGGCGGAGAAGGAGATGAATGAGGAGGAGGAGGAGGAAGACCACGACGACGACGACGAGAAGATGGAGGAGGAGGCGGAGGAGAAAGAGAAGGAGATGGAGAATGAGGATATACAGCCTGCTCGGAGACAGTCGGACCGCCAAAACAGAGCAAACAACTAACAGTTATGATAATGATAATGAGATGGAGGAGGAGAAAAATGAGGCGGACGGAATTGGCACCAATCCCGGCCGCCTGGGGCCAATCTTGGCTGCGTGTGGTGGAGACTGGGGCCAATTCCGGCTGCTCATACAAATAACTAGAACATCATTATATGTTGCAGACATTTCAGAACTACATGCGTATGTTTAAGTACACCCACTCGCACACTCCATCTTTCATCAAAGGGGTTCGTCCCTGTGTTTTGCGAATCCTGGGGAATCCGATGCGAGTCGTGCGCGAATCAGATGCGCATCGTATACGAATCCTATGTGGTTCGTATACGGCTCCCGTTTCGATCGCATGCGACTCTTACCTGAATTGTTCACGACTCCTAGGCGATTCGTATACGAGCCTTGTGCAAATAGTATACGAGTCCTGTGCGAATCGCATACGGTTACAATGCAGATCGATGGCGCCTCCTGTATGCAACGCACACGAACGCAATATGATTAGTATACGGTGCGTATGTGATTTGCATATGTTTCCATGGTGTATCGTATACAGACCCATGTGAGGTTACATATATCCTACGTGTATAGTATGCGATTCCTGTTTGAATGGCAAACGGCCACATGTGAATCGGATACGAATCCAATGTCAAGCGTGTTCGCTTCCTATGTGGGTCGTCTACGTTTCCTATGTGAAACACCTACGGTTCCTATGTGAATAGTACATGGTTCCTGTGTGAATCGTGTACGAAAGCGATGTGAAAGTTATACGCGTCGTATGTGCAACGTGTGGGATTTCTATCTGACCCGGCTACGATTATTGTGTGAGTCGCATGCGGATCGTAAACGAAATATATGTGAATCGGGTACGGCACCGATGTGACTCGTATACGAACTATGTGTGAACCGTGTACGGTTCAATTGTGAATCGTATACGATTTTTCTTATGTGAAACGTACACGCATGCATGCTATGTGAATTGAATAAGTTTTGCGATGTGCATCGTATACATTTCATGTGAATCGTATACGGCCACGTGAACCGTCTACAGATCCTACGTGTATCGAATGCGAATATTGTCTGAATCGTATAAGGTGCCTATGTGAATTATTTGAATGGCCTCCAGCCAGTGCCGCCGATCCGGGGGGCTCCGGATTCGGTGATCTTCGCGGCTCTGTGGCCTCCTATCTCCTCGATTCTTACGGTCCTCTTTCTTCTCTTTTGCGGGGGTGCTTGAAGCGGTCCCAGGGGGTGTCCCGGGAGGGTTCCGAGGGGAGGGTCCTGGGGGCGGCAGCCGCTAGATCTGAGGGGGATCCTTGGGACCCACCGAGACATTTTAGGGATGTGCAAATGATTAAGACAACGCCAGATGGGGGACCGCCCCCCCCCACCCCCACCCCACCCCCCTTCCGGATGCGCAAATCCTGAAGAAAACGCTGAAGAAAACGCCGGATGGGGCAACGCCCCCCCCTCCCTTCCCCAGCAGAGCCACCCCGGCGACCCCACCCAAGCAAAGTTGAAGCTCTCGCTTAGGCTCAGAGCTGAAACTCGTGCTGAGGCACGTTGTAGCTCACACGCTGGATCGGCGGATATCTGGATCCTACGTGCAGCATATACGGTTCTTATGTGGGTCGTATACGATTCCAATGCGAATCGTAAACGGTTCTTCTGTGAATCGCATACGACTCTTATGCGAATCGTACACGGTTCTGGTGTGAATCGTATATTGTTCCGATGTGAAACGCATACGGTTCCTATGCGATTCGTCCACGAGGCACCGCAGAAGTTTTCCAGGGGCACCTCCCAACAGGCCTCTCAGAAGCCCCTCAGAGGATCCTTCCTGAAGAAGACTTACGACGAGTACGTCTTACTATAATATGATGATGAGCATTTCGCAAGAAGTCTTAAACGCACAGCTTAACAAGTAGGACGTAAGAGGTATTACGGGTACATCTTGAGAAGTACGACTCAATAGGTCGTAAGAGTACGTCTTCAGAGGTACGACTTAATACGTCTTCTGAGCATGTCTTCAGAAGTCTTAAGATGAAGTCTGAAGAAGTAAGACTCAAGCGGGCTCTCAGCCAGGATTGGTACCGATTCAGCTGGGATTGCTTCCGAACAGGACTGGGCTAGAGACAAGTACGCCGGGATTGGTCTCAATATTTGTGTTTCCTCTCTCCTTCTTTCCCCCCCACCTGCGCACCTCTTCGCCAGCTCGGCCTTCTCCTCTCCGCCTCCGCCTCTTCTTCCTCCTCTGCCGCCTCCTGTTTCGCCGCCTCCTCCGCGCCTTTTCCGCCGCAGACGAGATCATCTACGCTCTGCCACGCGCAGAGTGGGGTGTCGGAAGGGGGAAAGGCGCCTTAGAAGCATTCCCCATTTTTAGTAGGCGCGGACGCGCCTCAAGAAGAAGGCGGCTTGCTTCTAAGAATGCGCTTGTGGTTCTAAGAAGCAGTTCCGTGTTTCTAAGAAGCTGCTGGGGTGCTTCCAAGAAGCGCCGCGCCCCTGGCGTCTTGGAAGAGCGGCCGGCGCCTTCTAAGACGCAGCCGCGTTCTCAGAAGTTCACCCCCTCCCTCTACCCCCTTGCGCGCGCCGCCAGCACGCCTTCGCTCACCGCCCTGCCTCCTCCTTCTGCCTGCTACCCCTTCCGTCCCTCCCGCGATGCACTGCCATCCACGCGCGCCCGCCCCGCCTGCGCCACCCAAGGACGCAGCTTCTGCTGACGTGGCGGCTGAAGCTGCGGGTGGAGGACGGGGCCGGCCCCTCCTTCGTTGAGGAGGAGGAGGAGGAGGAGGAGGAAGAGACGAGGAGGAGGAGGACGAGGAGGAGGAAGAGAGGAGGAGGAGGAGGAGGAGGAGGAGGAGGAGGAGGAGGAGGAGGAGGCGGATGAGGAGGAGGAGTAGGAAGAGGAGGGAGGAGGAGGAAGAGAGGAGGAGGAGGAAGAGAGGAGGAGGAGGAGGCGGAGGAGGAGGAGAGGAAGAAGAAAGAGGAGGGAAGGGAGGAGGAGGAGGAGGAGGAGGAGGAGGAGGAGGAGGAGGAGGA